ATGTGTAATTCCCAAAAAACCGTTTACTAGACCTTTTTTAGATAAATAAATCAGTTTTTCAGTTGAAAGCTAGGAATTAAGTTAAAGTTATATTTCTATTAAACGKTAACATATTACTGTAGAACCTCGATTATCCGAACCTCCGTTATACGAACCCTATATTATTCGAACTATAATTAGCGTATCCGAACGTGAAAACTCGTATCCGGGCAGTCGGACTGTTGGCCAACAGACCGACCGATTTATTGAATGTATCATAAATCCATACTCTCGCTTATGAGTTATTATTAAAGACGAATCCGTTTTCGATCAAAACAAAAATGTATATAATAAACTTAAAATAATAAAGTAATGTTATACAATTTTCGTAAATAATTATTAATTATAATATTAATATAAAAATAATGTTAATATATAGGTATTTTTACATTTTAAATAATTTTCTATACCTATTTAATTTCATAACATGTTATGCAACATATAATTTTAATTAAATAACAAAGCAATGGAAATGTCGTTTGATGATTTCTAATAGTATAATGTATTTTTGATAATCTAATGTATGTAATTCTAATAAAATATTAATTATAATAATAAATATTTAATTATAAAAATAATTAGTATATAATTATAATTTTTTTTAATTTTATATTTCCAATATCCAAGCTTTTACGTATCCGAACTAGGTGCAGTTTCAATTGGTTCGGATAATCGAGGTTCTACTGTACCTAAATAGGTACGAATTACATAAAAAGAACAATACAAATTATATTATATAATCGTGCTATTAAAGTTCATTCATTTATAACACGTAAAATATTCCAAATATAAAATAAATTTAAAAACAAATTTTCCTTATCCCTTTCCCTGCAAATAGAAATACTACTATAAATTCTAATAAAATAAAAAACTATTTTTTTGAATCTGGTATTATATTAATACTGCTCTTATTCTAATTATTTATAAATTTATAAAATTAAAAAAAAAGTTTTTTATGTTTTATATAAATATTATTCTTATTGTGGCTTATTTATAGAATTATTTTTAATTTTTCTAAAATTATAATAATTATGCAAAGGATTATATGATTGCATGATGAGAGGGAAGGAAGTGAGGTACCTTGAATTATTTAGTACCATAACCATTTTTGAGTAGGAACCCTATTTTTTAATTGACTTAAGTGCCTGTAACCCCAAGTTTTTAGTTGTGTCACTATAATACTGCTTTATGTAAAACACGTAGGGTTAACAACAAACTCTGCGCCGTATTTTTAATCAAACTGAGATTATTTAATACTTATATTCGTCTATCGTTTATAATAGATATCGACGATGCGGAAAAACTGGGAAATACTACTTCCCTTGTGCACAAGTGTACCTAAATATATTAGGTACGTAGCAATAAACAAACGGTTACGATATGATATTAAAAGGCTTCACCTATATGTGTTGTATCCGTCTTACAAATGTTAAACATACCATATTTTACGTTCACAATAATYCATTTTATTCTGTTATTTTAAAATTAAAATTAACTGATGTATCATAAAAATTTAAAAGGTAAGATTGTTATCAGGAGAATTTCGAAGGCTTTTATTGATATTTTAATCACAAACCAAGTAAAAAGAAATTTTAAAATTGTACATTTTTTAATGAGCTTAATTTTCTTTAAAATTAAAATATCAAAAAAATCCTCAGCGTTGAGTTGCTCTACAGCTCTACTGCTCTATATACAAATCTTACCTTCACATTTGATTACATAATCAATTCATTATAATTTTAAAAATAACAGGGTAAAATGGTTTATAGAAAACGTAAAATATTTGCTATACSTAATTGTACATTTGTTAGACGGAGACAACGCATACGGTTGTGGCGTCCTCTTAATTAAATTTGGCCTGTCACCGACCATTCAACCACCGATAAAATATTCAAATGTCTGCCCATAGGTCGAGAACAGATCAAATATAGACACGTCGTCACTGATCCGGGCAACGTCCAAGAGAGCTGCTGCAGAGCGCGCAATATGAACACGGTGGACAGCATCAACGATCGATGCAACTACACGAGACCGGTGCCGAACAATACGTGGGAAAACGACGTGGTGGACCCGCACTACACRCACTTTTTGTACATCACGTTCACGCCGATCCTGATATCGCTGTGCGTGTTCTCTATAATATTCAACGTGATCCTGCTGCTGTCGGTGTTGTGGATCCGGCGGCCGCTGTCGCCAACCCTGTACATCAGCCTCAGCCTGGCCGGCACCGATCTTTACACATCGTTCTTGCTGGGCCTCAGCTTCACCGTCAACAGTCTGCTGCCCGAAGGCTTCCAGGTGTACCTGATGGACACGTGCACCAGCCTGGGACTGGAGGCGCTCCGGCTCGGGGCCATAGTCACCACCGCGGGACATCTCATCATGTTGGCGTTCAACCACTACATCGGCATCCTGCGGCCGCTCCACTACCCGGCCACCGTAACGCACGGCACCGTCACCGTATTCATGTTCTTCCTGTGGACGCTACCGCCGTCATTTCTGTTCGCCTACTTCAACATGATACCCTGTCAGGCGTTCCAATCGCCGCAGTGTCAGCTATACGAGTAAGTATGTTAAGCAAGGCCATCGGTCCACGCCGAACTGCAGCAAGTTACAAAAAAGCAACCATTTTTTTTTGCAACATGTTTCTTCGACAAAGTTTCTTAAATCTGTTTATGTCGCGAGAAACAAAATATGCTATAGTGGTTCATTATTCGACTCATTTTCACGAATTAAGTTTATCGACAAGCTTTAAAAACTCTAACACTTCACGCCCAACAAAAATAAGTATAACTTGTATGTGGAAAAATTGTAACCCTCATWATGTTAGAAGCACAACCATAGAAGACGCATTTGAAACATATTCTCCAAATGTGTTGGTAACTTGTTTAATATTGTTGGTTTATCTACGCGCTGATACTGTTAGCAGTACAAACATGAAAAAGCTCTACTGTCTAAAATAAATTCGTATAATHAAGTATAAACAAACCTATTTGATATATTTTATATGTTTCTTGTTTCTTTTGTGGGTGCGCTACTAACTTTACGAGATCAAATTATTTCTGATGCAGACATTTGATTGCAGAATTACTGAGTAACGTGTTTGTAATGGTTTCTATGATTTTTCTGTACATTCATTCGTAATGGAGTAGACACTATATTCATATACGTCCAATAAAATCAAACTCTGAATCCACCACTATTCATCAAATTATACATAATCTTATCATAATTTGTATGRCATGTATTTTTCAGTTTTTTAAAAGAATCTAAATTCAGAAGTACATTTTCGGCTGTACTTTTTGCTGCTCTTGCCATTATGGGAATAGTGTACTACCATATATTTATATTGGTTAAAAAACATCAAGCTTCTCGTCTCTTGTACAAACAGAGTGGCAGTGTGCATTTCAATAAACCAAATCAAGTAAAATATTATAGACATATATTTATTTTAATATCTAAATTATACTCTAATGTCCGCAACATCACATGAATGATGTAGGTACGAAGACAAACGGAATCGCAACAGAGTAAAAACGAAAAGGCACTATACACTACATTATTAATTGTCGGAAGTGTTGTAGTTGGATGGATGCCAGCATGTTTACAATACTACCTGATATGTACTGATTGTATAATTCGACCAAATTGGGCTAGTTTCACTGTGAGGTTTTATACATACTTTGCAACTAATTGTCTTGTAATTCTTAAATCAGCAGTTAACTCATATATTTACGCAGCAAGAATGCAAGAAATTCAGGTAAATATTTTCACTTATAAAGATTTATTTTTAATTTATTATTTAGTTTTTCTTAGTTTTTTAATAATATAAATTGAACTTTTTATTGAATTGTAAGACCACAAACTAATTACTGAATTATAAGTCGAAACCAATGTCAAATTTCAAAATATAATTTAACTGTTCTAATTTTTAGATTCTGAACGGAGCGAGGAATGTAGGTAGGTATTGATTTTACCATGATGTGTGTCTTTTTTTGTGTCTATCGTCACGTTTTAAGGCAGTAAAAATACTTCGATATTCGACTTCAGTACTTTGTTAGATCAAAAAGTGAATCTAGTTGGTACTTTTGAGATCATAAGTAAAAATTGCTTAATATTTTTCTGAATAATCAGAACAAACAAACTAAAAATTAAGGAAAAAACGGGAATTTTTACGCACAATCAATTTTCGACAAAATCAATTTTGATTTTTGATGTAACTTTAAAACAAATGACCATAGTCCATAGATACATGAAATTTTCACGGAATGTTTATATAAGTATATTCCATCCACCAAGCAATTTTCAAAAAATGTCGACTTAAGTTGAACTATTGAACTAGATTTAAACATTTTTAATAATCTATAATATATYCTAGACAGATAAACCGTCTCAGCTCAGAATCGTTTTTCGTACACAATGATATAATATCATTGGATTCAAATTTAATTCCATCCATTACAGTAACTTACTTGTAACCTACTTTACAGCAGAGCGACATCCACGACTTACCCGCTTTTTTGTATTAATATTTTTATTAGGTAGCAATACGTAAAATGTACTGTACATTAAAACAAAAACTTTATGGTGGTAACAATGAAATGGATATTGCTGGATTTGACCAATATAAATACAGTAGATCATCAGCAAAAAGCAGAAGAACAGTCATATGCAGGATATCAGTTCACCAAAATAAAGATGAAGACCAAACAGAAATCAACCAGGATAATATTAATGTTAATCATGAGTTAACAAACTTTAGTAGTTGTCCTAGAAAAAATGAAACACCTAACACGGTTACATACCTCTAAGGTTATTATTATCACTTTTTATGTACATTTTTGTGTTTATAACTTATATAAATGACTATTATTACTTATTTCTTAAAAAACTGTTTATACTATTATACATTTTACCTTTTTATTATATTATTTGAAATACTCTGAAATTAAATTACTAACCTTCCATCGGTAGCTTCGATAAACGTTGCATTTAAACCAAGTTCATTAAGACAGTAATGCATACGTTTTCGTCTTTCTGTTCTTCGGGCTAAGTTAATAACAAAAACATTATCCAAACCCATATTGTCTATGGGCGCACTTGGTAAATCAAGATCTGATAAATTACTTGAAATATGTAAGGGTTCATTGTCAACTAGAAAATATTAAAAGACAGCAATGTACTTGTAWAATATATACTATATTACTATTTAGTCAATACATTATATTTTTTATCACAAATAAAATATTAAAATGCTGATCCTTACCTGTTATTTCTAACTTTATATTTGTCAATTGACTTATATCCATTTCTAAAGAACTATCTTTTTCAAGTGGTATAGTTATAAAACCATAGATTTCATCATTGCAAATGTATAAGGGAATACCTATTTAAAATAATAATATTCTACAAAATGTTGATAAATTAAAACYATTAACAACTTACCAGAGAAATTTGCAGACATCGCAAATATAATTATATCATCTACTGGTCCCATGTAGTTAGGCAATAAACTATGGTTAAATGTTAAGTAGTCAGTGATCTGGAATCTTAAATCTATTAAAACTGAGCTGTGAATCATTGGCACTTGATAGCACCCTTTGATTTTCCACTCTACTATAGGTGCATAATCAGGAGTTCTCTTGTAATAATAATTATCAGTCATACCACACCAAAAATTTGAATATAATCCATCAGACTTCAACATAGGAGCAACAACTGGATATTTTTTCTTTATTAAATGTCTTAAAGTTGACTTATTGATTATAAAAGCRTCACAGTCTAAAAACTATAAGTAAAAAAATTAATTCATTGAGAGTACAAACATTTAAAAATATATATACTAATCAAACTATAGCCTGTTCAAAATGAGAACGGCACAAGTGCCATCTACTGCGCATGGGCATGGCTTTGTTCGAAGGCAAAGAAAACTGGTCGCCACCATTTACCGATCTYATTTTGAACAGAATATAAAATTATTTATTATTTACCCAAATATAATCGGCCCAACTATCTCGTGCAGTTCGCAAAGCAGTTTCCCTTAACTGAACAATATGCTGAAATCTAGAATGAGGCCAATGCGCAGGACCACTTTCATCATCATACTTTGTTGAATTATTATCTATTTTAACATCGACTGAACGGTAAACTTTTCCTGATGTTTTTAACCATTTATTTAAAATTTGAGTTGAGTTATCTATATTATGATCACTCCTAATCCTACAAAATAAAAAAATATTTGTAATAAAATGTAACAATTCACTTTAACATTTTAAGATATGACAATGTCAATTTAGTTTTATATTCTATATTCATATGAAACAGAAAAAAATGAAACCATCGATTTAAGTTAGATAATTCAAGTTATAATATACAAATTTTCCTAAAACTGAAGGAAAACATTTTTTTTTTTTTAAATTCCATATCCACATAATGTATTATACATTATACATAGGCTAGGTAGGTAGTTATTTTAAATAAAACTTAAATTTAATACAAAAGTTTTTGAGTTCTTATTTAAAAAGCACAAGAGAACTCTATATTAACCATGTTAATACACGAATGAAATTATTTATGATTTTAAAATTAAATTAAATTAAATATTTGATTTTTGATAACTGCTCTCTTAAATATAAAATCAAAATTAATTTAAATAGAAGATTATATAAATGTAGCTTCACCCTGCACACCAAACTTTTTTTTTATAATTGTAAATTCACTTGATATTTATTATAGGTATAGTAATAATTACATTATTACTTAGCCTATATCACAGAATGTAGAGTATGAAAACTAAGGAGTAATGCATTACTAATGAAGTATAAGTTTTCTTAGACTTCAGGTTTCTCAATATGTTCATAATAATTAATGTACACATCAATGGTCAAAGTATTGATAAATAAATAGGAACAACTAGAATTATGCCATGCTATTTTTGGGAGCACTACGCTATGGYTAATGTTATCACTTCAAAGCGTCAAAAGTAAAACCACTTTGAAGACAAAACAAAAAGGAAGTTTTGTTTTCCAACAAATAACTCAATAACTCACCATAGATGCATCCGATCCTTGGGATAGTCCAGAGATTCGAGAGCGCTGAAAAAGTATGGAAGAGTGTGAGCCTTGTTCCTTATGAGTATGGCCACGAATACGGTATCTGGCTTGCGGTTATCGACGACCGATCCCAAAGCCAGAGCAAATACTGTCACAAACGTCGTGCACACGACTATAGACGCAGACATAGTACCGGTTAAGTCGTTTCCCGAAAATTCGAAAGAGCCAGGTTTGGCTGCCGATTTCGGAATGGCGCCAATCCGGCGTGAGACGATGGTATCTGCAACTGAGAAAGTGGCCGCCGGTCGTCCCGGTTGATAACGGATGACTGATAAAGATGACTGATAGCACGATATCTTTATAATTCGAGTTGATAGCAGACGACTGATAACGATAGTGATTGATAACWTTCTCACCAGCTTACCAACAAGGGCGCGGCAGACTGCGCAGCCAGTAAGTTGCAGGCTTGAAGCGTGGCTCGGGCAGGTCACTGATTTTAGTATTTACTGTTTCATCACTTAATACTTTGGACTTTAAATTATGATAATTAAAACACAGTGGAGAACAAGCTTTGAAAACGATTAAAATATTCAGAAAATAGATATAGAATTGGATTATGAACAATACAACTCCTAAGGAAATCAAAAACAAAATAAATGAAATAAGCTCGCCACGTAATTTTAATATAAAGGCACAGAATACTTACGGTTATTATTTTAATGTAAAAAATACATAAACAGAGTTCTCTTTACCAACGTTTTAAGTTCAAATTTTGACGAAATTACCTACTATTATAGAACCAARAATAACGATTTTAGTTATTTTGTTCTGATTTAAAAAATATCACCACTAAGTATACTGGAAACTTTTAAAATGTACTATTATAATAATTTATAAACATGACATTTTCAAATCTAATTTCTTCGTAAAAATTAATTTAATCAACTGTTATAACAATTCCAAACCTAAAATAAATATCTTTTATCACAATAATATCACAAAATATATATTTAATAAAATTATAAGTTAACTCTTCGCTCAGAATCGTTTTTCATACACAATAATTTTCATAGACACKTGCGCACTAGGTGTGCAGTTGCGTAGACGGTACGCTTCAAACATGCGTGCTTACTTAAAATGTTTGATTGAAAAATTATTCATATATTTAAAACTGAAAACCAGTCGTTCATTATTGAGTGAATAATTATTTATCTATTCGTCATCATATATTATATATAATGTATAACACTATTAATACTCAATACCTACCATAGATAATACATAGACTATAATTTTCTTAAGCTTTACTCTATCTCTTTTGTATACTACCAAAAAGTCCAAGGTATACTCAACGGTGAAAAAGTACCTACCATATACCTACATATAATTAAGTAAAATTAAAAATACGATGTGACAAAGTACCTACAATCAATCTTTCAATTAGTATTAAAATAAATTGTAACTAAATTATTTACTTGACAAAATGAATAAACAATCTTGTAAACCAATAACTACTTTTTTRRACAATGAATACTGCTTAACTTTTTTGGMTGCATGTAATAATTAAATGTCTACTATTTCTTTTATCTGGTTATTGTTGAGTTTTACTCGTTAGGCTATACATCTGATATAGTTAATAAAGATATAGAGATATCTATGGTAACAGGTATATCCACCGTGTACATACTCGTATCCAGGCCCGTCGTAAGATATTTTTCGCCCTAAAGCGAAAAAAAATAATAGTTAAATTTCTGTCTTTTTTGGAAATTTAATATTACAATTTGCCGCCTCATTTTTTTAAAATGTGATGCCGCCCTAAAGCAACGCATAACTGGCTTGTACCCTAGCGACGGGCCTGCTCGTATCRTATGGTACATATGCGGATAAATGAACAGTTGTAATTTTTGTCAGTATAGTTCGAAATTTTGTTAGATTGGTTCGACATTTTATTAGTTGGTTAGTTGTTTGCTCTCGAATAAAAAATTTTAAAGTTGGCCATAATATCAGAACAAGTCCTAGATAAACATTATTATTGTTTTTTTTTTTTATATTTTTTTTTTGACGGCAGCTAGTTATTAAACTGATAAGTCATACTACTAGATAAACATTATAATTAATAATTATTGAATTTTTCATTTGAATCATTATGACAAACGATGTATATTTTTTTTTTTGTATGAATAATAGTTTGATTTTTTGATATACGAGTAGATAATGATACTAAGTACATAATTATTATTTATTTATTCATATGAGTTTTTTTTTTAACAAATAATTTTAAATATGATTATGTATATAATATAATCTCTTTCAAATACGTTATACTTACGTATTAACATATCTATGATAGTATAATCTCTTACTAATAATTTTGCACTTGGCTACCTAAAGTAGGGAATAAGGTACGCATAATGCCACAGTACATATATTAATAAGTCTATATGGTTAAGTTTACATGGTTAAGTTTATAAGTAAGTTGTCCCGTACTATAGTGAATAGCTCAAAAATGATTAGATGCCTCTTACTRACTATTTATTGAGCAAGAAATTGCTAAATCATTTAATGTGGAGGAAAATAGGAAATAATTTATTGATGAGTTTAAAACACTGCAGAGTGCAGACACCGATAAATGTGTAGGTATACTATTTGTCTATACAATGTAAAGTGAGTCGCATGTAAATTAATAATTATTTTATTTTATACAACAACATTTAAGGTACATCTAATATTCTTAATACCTAATAATCAATGATACAGGTCTAAAAATAATTCACCGTTCCACCTAAAACTCATGTACCTGAGATGCTCATTCCGCATTCGAGTACCTATAAGTAAATAAATAAAAATATAAACAACAAATTTAATTTAATATATAATCAAATATTATATATTATATATATTATACCCACATTAAAATTAACCTACTGATACTRACCTATTTATATAACTTTATCACTATACCCAAAAAGCTGGGTAGATATGTAGGTACAATAATATTATGATTTATATTTACATATTGGTTCGGGTACCAAATTAATAAATTGTAGGAAACTGCAAAAAACACCTTTGTATGATATCCTCATATATCAGTATATCACCGTTTACATATATAGTAACACCACTGAAAATTTGTTACTATATTAACCACGAAAATATGCTGTTGTATAAATAGGCATATATATAGCGTATTAGGTATAGGTATAGATAACTGCAGTATTTACAAATTACACACATATAATTCAATACAATASGGTACAGTATAATTCTATCAATTTGATAATACTAAAATATATTAGTATAATCATTGATTATAAATACTAGTATTTATAATCAATGGTATAATATAATGTATTATAAATGTTTATATAATTAATTGGTTTTCATTTATTAATGATACTTAGATTTTGTAATTTATGATGCCTGTGATGACTAACTTTTTTTCATAATACGAGAATTTCCTTTTTCCCTATACATTTTTCACTATAGGTAGATATTATTTTGTAAATTTCGATGTGTGCTAATCGAAGTTTAAACKAGTTTTAATTAAATATAATTATTAAGAAATTGGTCATCCGAATAATTTGAAAATTAAATTAATATATGTCAAGCTAACAACATTTTATATTTTATAAAAATTGCCTGCAGACTGCAGAGTATAATGACTATAATAACGAATATAAGTACTTACCTATATCTACTGAATTCAATATTGCATTTCTTTTATATAGTTTTTTAAAACAAATTGTTAAGGACTATCTTAATACCCAYTTAAAAATTCCAAAAATCAAGATTTAAATAAATTTGTTATTAGAAGATAAAATACATGGCGGTGAGATGGTGAGCGTATTTAGTGACATCTTTTATATAATATAGAACTTATTTAGGCAGGTAATTTATATAATTTATACCTTGATCTCGCCATTATAACTCACATTAAAATATGGTACTGGGTTGCTGCAAAGAAACTTATTAAAAGCTTTTAGGGTGAAATGGAGCTCGTCTCGAGTAATAAATTATAATGATATATAGTATTCATAACCATTGATTTTACATACCTATACATATTTTATGTACAATAAATTAACCACGGCCTCGCCGCCTCGGCCTGACATATTATTATGACGATATCTGTAGTAGTACCTACATATTTACCATAATGCACGGTTTATATTAATCAATTATTGCATTTGAGTAGAGCATTGAAATTATTTAGTGACCATCGTAAATGTATATACCTAGTCATATAGATAGATTAATCTACCAATACCAWTAGACCATGACTTCGAATTTAATTTTTGGACGTAATAGCCCACGGTGGCCGGCCATTTGAATTCATATATATTTACAATAGTATTTAAAACTATCTATAAGTCAACTAATAGTAGAAAATAGATAGAACAAATATATTAAATATTAATAAAATATACKCCCACGGTACCTCACCCAGTTAAAAGAGACGACTAATGAGGTTGCTTCAGTTGACAGCTGGTGTAAAATAAGTGTCAAACAGGATGARAAGTCTCTATCAAAACTTAGGGGCCGACCCTAAATAGTTGGGGGGAAGGCAAAGGCGAAGAAGATGTTTAATGTACTCTGTCCTTAGTTCTTAGTATTCTTACCATGACAATTGACAAATATTACTTGTAGTGAGGGTTTTTTTTTGGGGGGGAGGGGTTTCCGTGGCCATTTTTTCCGCCTACCCGATTGCGTACGAAGTTTTAGGTATTGTTGCAAATTTTCATACCGGTATATTGGTATATATACTATATATATTATA